ATATATATAATATTTCTTATACTTAAATTTTAAATATAAGATGTATAATTTTTGTTTTTACAAAAAAACTTTTGTATTTTTTTCTTTTTTTTTCCAATCGTTTATGTCTCAACTATCTTGAACTATCATTATTTTTTTTTACCATGACATGAAATTCTAAATTAGTGTTTTCTTATGGCCTACTCAAATCATTCACTAATCAAGATATATATTAAAATCACTATACTAATAATATATAGTTTCATGAAATTGATTTTTGCAACATGATTCTTGGCTCTTCCAAAAACATGTCACCCATCATAGGGTCTTCTTTATTTTATGCATATATTTATATTCCTACTTACCACTTAAAAGAATGGTGTATTAGTAATATGCCAAGTGGCTCTTTCCTCAGCCACAGCCATTGGAGTAGATATATAGTTGATAGGACGTAACCAACTCAAGAAAAGCCATTCTAGAAAATAATTAATTATAAAATCAAACTTTATTTTTTATCCTTTTATAATCCTATTTAATGCATCTCATTACCCAATTTTAATTGTATTTTATCATCACGTATTAATTTAGTTTGTGAATATTTCATCAAATTGTTAAATATTTTCAATCGCCTATTAACATATAAGAAATTTGAAAAAAAAAACATAATTTTGATCATATTTCCTTTTTTTTAATTTTTTTTAATTTTTTTTACATGTTAACATGTTTAATATCGGGAACATATATTAAAATAAAAAAACAACGATGAAAAAATTTACACAAAAACAACTTAGTAAAATTTTCAAAATGATGATAGTTTGTTGTGATAGAATGCATGGTTATTCTTAAATATAATTGCATAAAATAAAACCTATAATATATAAAATGAGAAAGACTTCAATATAGCTTTGTTTCTTCTCCTACCTTCTAAAGGATATATATAATTAAACACGAAAAACTTCAACCCTAATTATCTAATTCGTTATGTGAAACCACGTTATCAACCTTGTTAATTAAATAAACCTTGGTCAGTCAAATACACCTAATTGAAGTACTCTTTCATGGTGAAAACCCCTATTAATTAAAAAAACTATAACTTCAATGTTCAAACCGACTCTATTGTACAGTCAATAGTCTTCCTTGAATTAAATATATGTAATTAAATAATGAAGGATTAGGAAGGGATGTGTATGAGGTTTTGTGTTTTATAAATTGCCTTTTGGAAACACCACCCTTTCTAATTATGATTAAGAAACAAAACTTGATAGTTTCAATAAAACAGAATATAAAAAATTCCTGTTATTTCATATATTATCTCTCGCTTTCGCAACGTGAAATCACGTGACAAACAACAACTGAGAAAGAAAATCAGAAAACTGAAAAGATTAATTATGATTTTGATTTATAAATTATGTATAGTGGGATTGTTCGTGACTGAGCAGTTAACATCCCTTAATCCATTGCAAAACTTTCGAACAATCGGAAAGTCAAACTACAAACAATATTAGTAATAAAAATAATCATGTTAATTCTAATCTTGGTCATTATTAAATTGGGTCGTACTTAGGTCAGCACTAATCAAAAATTTATCCCAAAATCTATAAATACAGATTTAATATTCTGGTAGTTTGTGATTTTTCACATGCATTTATTGCAAGATTATTCGGACAAACACTGATTTTAACATCAAAGTGATTATTACATGTAGCACATGACCTAACCAAATGGTGAAGAGAAGTTTGAAGACTAAATTTTGACCTAAACTTTGAGTTTGAAGATCATTAGTATGAGAAAACTTAATTTCGACCCATAAACCGAAACACTATATAACATAATTTTAGATTTTATCTCCATTTTAAATTTTAATTTGTTAGATTCCAATTCTTAATAAATGTATAACATTGCAGTCTTCCATCTCAATACCCTTAAAAAGAAAAGGCAAATACAGTGTCGTGTTTTATAAATATGAAACTTTGTTGTTTGTCACTTAAAAAAGTGTTAATGTTTTTTTATTAGAAAGACTGTATCCATTATTTTTAAGTAAAGAACCTAACATGATTAAAAAGTTTAAAATATAAATGAAAATTAAATTGTGTTATAGTTTAGAAACTAAAATTATAATTAATATAAACTAAAAAAATAACTTAATAAAGTATTTTTGAAAATCTAAATCTCAACATTTGACAAAAAAGTAAAAACACTATATAAAATAATACATAAAACCCATAAATTTATTACCTTAATATAAAAATGATATTAATATTTTATATAAATTGAACTTAAATTTCATTATTATTGTATCAACAAATCTCTTATATAAAGACACATGAGGTAATTGATATTTTAAAATAGGCTATCGAAGTGTTATTTAATAACGTTTGATTACAAACTTCGTCTATGTATTTAAATAAAATAAATAAAAAATTTATTGGAATGTTTTTATCTAGACAAAATCACGCTTTTTTATTAGTTATAAGTTTTCTATTTATTAGAAATTTTATTTGCTCTCATTTTTTTCTCCTTTAAAATTCACATTTCATTTTTTTCTCCTTTAAAATTCACATTTTATATAGAGATAAGTTTCAACAATTATTTTCCACGCGTCCTTATTTGTATAAAGACATATCTTTTCAAGAGTCACCCCTCTCCATCTTCAAACACAATTGTACGAAGATTTAAAGAATAATTCAGGAATTAAAAATAGAGCATCCTTTGAATTTTGTAATAAAAATTTATTACATTTAATTCAAAGTTTTGCGTTTATGATAAAGTTAGAATTAATATCAATGAAATTTGAAGAATCATACACTGGAGCGAGTTTTACTATATATGCACAATTATCTATAAGACGGAAATTGTTCTTGTTTGATCAAATTGTGGGCAATTAAGAAAATACAAAATGTATTGAGAAAGCTATTTTCTAAAGAGAAAATTGAAGTTCATTTCATCTCATTCTGCAATGGTTTGTGATCTCTTTATTAACTGTGGTCCATCTCCCAACTCAGCTTCGGTGCCACAACACGGTGCTTCGGCACATTATTCCTGGAAAATTTATCATAAAAAAATTCACAAGAAAAAAAGGAAAAACCAATTAAATCTTTTTATTAATTTAAGAAAATGGAAAAATAAAAAATGAGCATTTTCATGGCAATGTTTATGTACAACCTCAAGACTTCGACATGAGGTCTTGGGCAGTTTGGGCAGAGACAATAATGTCACGGGCAGCTGGTGTAATGAATCCTTCGTCTACAGCATTGTCCATGAATGACAGCAACGAGTTGTAGTAGCCATCCACGTTCAACAGCCCCACCTGCCACCATTTTTTCCCTTATTCATTAATTCTTTTACACACATTTCTTTTTCTTTTTCTTTATAATATGTGATTATAACCACTTAAATATATTTTTATTTATTTTTAATTTATATTTAAAATTAAAAACTTCATTCCACTAACGAATTTCCACCACTTCCTTAAATACTAATAATTAATTAAAAAGTTAAGTGATTAGGTTTGGAGGTCTCACGGGTTATCGTGGATTCTAGTTGAGCCCAAGTGATAACTTCGAGCAGTTTCTTCCAGCAGTGCATATCCCCTAAAATTATTAAAAAAATAGATATATTCCAATAATTCATCCCTTTTCTACCTTAATAAACAGTGTTGCTATTACCTATAAATAACTATGCAAATGCAATAATGCATGAATAGAACCTTCATAAGGGCTGCAGGAATCTCATTAATTTGCAGCATACAGTTGACAGTTATGATCCGTTACTGATAAAGATATCTTGAGAAATTATTTTCTCTGCGAGGAACACGGACAACAAATATATATATATATATATATATTATAATTATATATATATATATATATATATATATATATATATATTATATATATATATAATAATATATCTATTTGTCTTTTTTTAATTAATTAAAATGATTTTTTAATTAAAGTTCACAAATCATAACTTCAATTATAATAGGAAAAGTCTTTTTCATAACTTAGGGGAGAGTTCTCTGTCATATGCAGCAACAGGAACTTTTTGCGTTGTTGATTGAAAGGATATAACATATATATATACAGATCCATTTATTATTTATTATTATTTATTATTATTTATTATAATGAAGATGTTACATCATGAATTGTTTTAGGTTCTATATTACATAATAAAAATAATTTGTATTTTTAATTAGTTCGAAAAGAAGAGAACAAACCTGGGGAGAGCCAATGGAATGCATCAGCTTGTCGAGCCATTTCTGCTTTGCGTTGATGCATCCCTGATACTGCTCTAACTTCTCCTACTGTTTCTCCAGTTATCTATTCAATTTGGTTATAGTTTCTAATTTAATTTACTCACTAATTATAAATTAATGATAAATTATTTATTAAAAAAATAAAATACCTCTCGCGGCATAGAGTTGTGGGAATGACCTGCAATTGTGAAGATGGTGAAATTAATTTATAGTGATAGATGAAAAAGAAAGAAAGAGAGAGATAGAGATAGAAGAATTACCCTAAACACGTGGCCGTCCCACCATCAAAACACCAATTGTGAGATTAGCCCATCAACCCAATGCTCCCTCCTCCATAAACCAAGTCGATGTTCTTCTCCACCTGCATGCATTCATTCAATCTCATTTCTTAATCTCTCACCACCACATCAATTTAACAACCATTAACCCTAGTTCAATTATCTCTTGTTACAAGATTATGGTATCTATGGCTCCCGCTGAGTCATGGACTAAGCGATCAACAATTTTTTTATTTCATGAAAGATAGTCGGATTACAAATGAGATTAGTAACAAGAACAATTACATTAATCCTAAATCAAATTATTATTGTTTGGACAGTAATTAGACTCACACTAATCAAGAAACTCATTCCAAAATCTATAAATACATGTTGATATTTAGACAGTGAGTTACTTTTACTATATATTTATTGTTAAAACATCATAAAAAACGGATTTTAGCATCGAAGTGTTTTCTTTAAGTAGCATCCAACTCGATCGAACGGTAAAAAGAAGATTAAAGACAAGATATTAACTTAAGCTTGAAACTTGAAAACTCTTTAAACTTAACTTCAACCTCATAAACCGAAATAATATCATTTACATTATTACAAAAAAGTTAACCTGTAAAAGTTACAAACAAGGACTCATTCCTAACAAGATTGAAGGGTTGTATTTTCATTTCATACCACAGGGAATTTAAGAGTGGAGAGAACGTTGTGTTTGTGATTGTGTACAAACATGGTTTAATTTTGGAAAAAACAACATGGTTTTGTTCGAAAAAGTTAATGAAGAGTAGAAGAGAATAAGAAAGAGTTGTGTGTGTGACATTGATGAGGACTTACAAGTTGTTTGCCGAGTGGGGACTGCAGCCAGTTGGTAGCTAGGGTTCTTGCCAGGGCTGGTGCCACAGAAGACACAGATACGTGAGAACCTTGACTTCATCTTTATTAGGCCTTGTTCTTCAATTTCCATATATAACACGAAAACTCAATAATTTGATTTTGCCTTCAATGATGTGATTGAATGAATATGGATGATGCAAAGGTGTTTGTTTTTTTGTTTTTGTTATATCTTATGCTAACTTGGAGAAGAGATAGAAGAAGTGAAGAAGAAGCAATCTAATAAGATATAATAACAATATATAGAAAAGTGGTGTGAATTGAGAATTGAGAATTGTTCTCTTAAATAAATAATGTGAGAGGAATGAGATCCATCTTCCTTCCCACGCCATAATATCACATATATCAATGTCTGCACGCATCAGATCTTACATTCATTATTATCTCCAATACTCACTTATCTCATTTGGGATATCCAAAATTTTATTTTTTCCTCTTTGAAAAATTCAAAACATTCCATTGGTCTTCTCCCAAAGAATGTTCATGTGCAGCTAATGTGAGTTTTTATATTATCTATTAAGTAAAAGTTACTAGATGACTTTTATAGTACTTATTATACTAAAAATATGAAATTATATAACTTTATGTTATGGTTTGATAGCAATTTTATTAACTAGATCTTAAGTTTAACTTACTTTTACAAAATCAACTTATAATAAAGATGGTTGTTTTTACATGTATAATTTGGTTTGTAATTTGTATTAAAAATTTAAGATGAGTTAAAAGTTACATATTATATGTAAAAATGAGAGAAATAATTAGTATATAAATAAAATTATTATAAATTTATTGTTTAACATTTTGAGTTAAAAATAGTGTCATGATTTTTTATATAAGTTTTTGTTCACGACTCATTGATATAAAATATTTTAGTGTTTTTTCTAAAAAAATCCTTACTATGATATTAGAGGCGATTATTTAATTTAGTGGTAAGTCAAACATAAAGTATACAATAGGTGAAAAATTTAACCAAAGATTGAAAGTTACATCATAACTAATTTTCATATAAATTTACCTCATTCATATTGATCTTTTTAGGTCTTTTTTATAAAAAAAAAAAAACTCACAATTTTCATCTTGTTTTAATTTGATCTTTTTAGTCGACGATTTTAAATACCATAAAAAATTTAAGTAATTATGTGCTTCAAAAACTTGTAAAAACGAGAATCACATTTAATTAATTAACTTTGAGAAGCATCACTAATAAAAATAAAAAACTCCTTTGTAATAGTTTTATTCAACACATTATACAAATTCCTCAAATATACAGGTATAATAAATTAATACTTTTGTGAAAAAGACTTATCAAAAAAATAAATTGCATGATTGTTTTAAGGATAACGGAAGGAATTTCTTTAAACTATTTGTTTAGATAGTCCTCTGTTTAAAAAAAAAAAATAGTATTTTTAATAAAAAAATTAGTTAAGACTTTCTAGTAATAAATAATGGGCTATTGACAATAGTTTTTAATTTGAAAAACACTCATCATTCATTATTTAGAAAGAAATTTATTTGACTATCACTCGATCGTGATAAGCTTCAATTTCCAATATAATATTTTTATATATACCTTATATATGATGATGCGATGCATAAAGGGGAGCCAATAATTTGTTATCATTATAATCAACCTCATTTTATTAACTATATAATACTTATCACCAATTTTGAAAAGATTTAATTTGACTATCAACTTTAATTAAAGATGAATCCCATAATTATTTCCAAGAAAAGCATATATATGTTAATAAAATGCACCCATGATAAATTCCACTTTCCAAATTCATAATGCCACGTGAGAAATAATTGGTGCAACCAAAACAATCATGGAATCCCTGTCCCACACACAAACACCAAAAGGTTAAGCTTCTCAATTCTTTATTTGGTTTTTTTTATTGCTTGCTTTGATTTTATTAAATATTTACTCCAAAAACACAAACTTTCATATATATATATATATATATATATATATGGGTTTGCTAACGCGTTGTTTTTCACTTGGTACATTTTAGCAATGTGTAGCGGGTTTTAGTAGACAAAAATATCCTTATATATCATGGATTCTAAAATGTTAAGGGTATTTTAATAATTTTCATTCTCAAAACTAAAAAAAAATAAAAAGAAACCTCCCAAACCCTTACTCACCTCTCTCATTTCTCTCAACCCTTTCTCTTTCGTCTTTCTCACTCCAATCTTTTCTCTGTCATCCCTACTGTAGTCCCAATTGAAAAAATCAGAAACACCTTCTTTATGTAGCCCTAATTGAAAAAACTCGAAGCACTTGCCGTTATAAACATCTTACAAAAAAAATGATTTATAATAAGTTGTTTATAATTTTGTTCTCATATAAAACAGGCGTATGAGCGGTTAGCAAATCCATATGATATATATCTATATATATATATATATCTATATATCTTCATGATTTAAACTAAATGAAGATGAACAAACTATAACTCAAATGAATCCTATTATATCAACCCTAATGAAATTAAGTATGTTATTTAAATTAAAGAAATAATATAGAAAAATATATTGGAGTTTTCTGATGCTCGACCTATTATGCAATAAGAAGAATGAATCTCCACCCCCCGCTTTAGATTTCAGATTATCAATCAGAGCTTCTCCACAATATGATTCAAATTCAGGTGGGTGGTGGTTTGCCTATGCTTCTTATGTTTCTATCATCTATTGTATTTCTTTTTGTGTTTCTATTATTGAAAACTGAACAACCCACGTGTGAAATTCGTGTTTCTGAATATGTTTGATGTAACAAAATGATATATTATTCTGAATATGTTTCATGTTCTTGTAAATGATCAGTGTATGATCTTTTTTGGAGTTTAATTTTAGTGTGGGATAGATATTGAGTTATAAATAAAATTATCTAACCTTTTATGCTAATTAAAAAAAATAGTTAATATTATTTAGCTTTATTTAAAAAGAATAGAATTTTTTTCATCAAAATTTGATAAAAAGAACACAGTAATTTAAAACGACATCTGAATTATTTGGAAATATTTATGAAATATTATTAAATTAAATGAAAGTACGATCTTAAGTTTGAATAATTTTGAATAAACAACATGTAGTTGAAAGGAGGGATCAGTTAAACACGATCCACTAAAATTTGTGAGCCATTGTTGCATATTTTGTACAAATAATTAACATGATGTTATAAAAAATAATGTCACATTATTTGATATATATCACATGTTGATATGATATATATATATATGATATATATATATATATATATATATAATTAAGATATTATATTAT